CACTTTATTTTCTGTGCTATCTGAAACGCCTGCAAGACGTGAAAGAAGTTCGCAATGTAAAAAAAGAAAGAAAGGCAAAGTCACTAAAACAGTTGGAGAATGAAATAACAGAATACATGTTTGATAAACTTGGGCTAGGGGGCTGTATCCTCTTTTATCATGTTGAAATTATTTGGGAAAACCGTCGCCTCTTCTTTGGAGAATGGGGTGGTCTCCTAATACAATTTCACATCCTCATTTCCATTAAAACACTATAGATTGATTTAAATGTCACCATCAGTGACTGTGTCAGCATTAAAGTCTCAGAATTGCTAGATTAAGGGAGAAAAGAAGCTAATATTCGGGAAAGATGACATGAGCAAGAACGGTTCATATTGGCGAAATTATGTGCAGATGTCCGTGTAATGAAATATAGTTAAAGGGATCGGTTAACAGTGTTAAATCTGAGATACACGGCCCTACGTGTTATCAGTGTCTGTGATATGGTGTAATATTGAAGCCCTAAAAAAATTGCGCTTCAAAATGATCAAGAAGTGCCTCAAAAAAGTAAAAATCTTTGAGTGACCGGTTTTACCATACTCGTTTTCCCCAATAGACTGTAGTGTTATGAAAACCGTCAGGCGAACGGTTTTCAAAATTTGTAATTCCAATCATAAATATCTTGATAATCAGACAGGTGATCGGCTTGTAAAAGTCATGGGGTTCCTGAGTGACCTAAAGGTTTATAATTATCATTGCATCATGAGCTAAATCCAGAATTTTATTTCAAAATCTGAGACAAAGTTACCGGATCCGGGTCAGAAAGACAGAGCAGAGAAGTTTCTAAACTTTTGAAAATTTGGCAGTCGTCTGGTCCTGGAATTTTCATCATCATGAACATTTGATTTCACTATAAAAAACTCTTTGATCGTCATCATCACCATCACCATACGTCTATGCCATCACTAACCGAAACATCACCATACCACGTTCATAATTAGCATCATCATAATCACTAGTCATTGTCACCATCTTCTTCTTCACCTTCTTCATTTCCTTCTTCTTCTTCTTACCCCAATGCTGGTTCGTCAATAACAATAATAATAATAATAATAATACATGAGATTTATATAGCGCCATTATCCATTTTGATTAAATGCTCAAGGCGCTTCAAAATATAAGGGAACACATTACATCATGACAAAGAATCGTGTACATTTACATAAGAAAGAAAATGCAAAAATGAAAGAATGAAAGAATGAATGTCTGTCTTCAAAACGCAAAATTAAACAAATGGGATTTAAGGTTGCTCTTAAAAGATGTTGAAGAGTCGGAGTTCTTCAGCTCCTGTGGAAGTGAATTCCACAGGGCTGGTCCGGCATGAGCAAAAGCTCGTTCCCCCCAAGATTTCTTTGAAAGCGGTATGTGTAGAAGACCAGAGTTAGAAGATCGGAGGGTACGTGTGGGTTGGTAGAGGTGAACTAAAGACTGGTTGTATTCAGGAGCTGTTCTGTTCATGATTTGATGAACTAAAAGGAGGATTTTGAAAATTATACGTTCTTTTACAGGCAACCAATGGAGATTTTGTAAGATAGGTGTAATGTGACTATGTTTGCTTGACAGAGAAATGATGCGTGCAGCTGCGTTTTGTAGTTTTTGTAACTGTGCAATTTGAGAATTTGGTAAATTATAGAGTAAACTGTTGCCGAAATCCAAACGTGAAGAAATAAGTGAGTGAACAAGTTTCTCTGTTGCCGAACGAGTCAGATATTTCCGTATGAAGCCAATATTGCGCAATTGATAGCGAACTGATCTGGAAATGCTTGTGATTTGTTTAGACATAGACATTTGAGAATCAAGAATGACGCCAAGATCGCGACATGAATTTGATAAGGGAATGGTGTTACCGGAAATAGAAATTGAGTCTATATTTAATTTATTCAACTGAGATTTTGAGCCGAAAAGAATGAATTCGCATTTACTATGATTTAATAGCAGAGAATGTGACTTCATCCAGGCGTCAATATCAGCGATGCAATTTTCCAAATTTTGCAAGGTTTGGGAAGCTCGAATTTGATGCGGCGGAAAAGAAACAAAAACTTGTATGTCATCTGCATATAAATGATAACGAACAGAATGACGTTGAAAAACATTTCTGAGACTGGTTAAATATATTGAAAATAAGGTGGGCCCGCCCACAGAGCCTTGGGGTACTCCACAGCCAAGTGGCCTGGGGGAGGATGTGAAACCATTTAAAAGGACAGACTGTGAATGGCATGAAAGATAGGATTCAAACCATTCAAGAGCCTGGTCCTGGATACCCAGACTTGTTAGAGTATTTACAAGTATTTTGTGGTCTACGGTGTCGAAGGCTGAGGACAGATCTAAAAGGACCATGGCAGTGACGGATCCGGAGTCCATTTCTCGTAAGATTGAGCTTGAAACGTTGATGAGAAGGGTCTCAACACTATGATGAGGGCGGTAAGCCGACTGTAAAGGGTCGAATAAATTGTGTTCCAGCAAATAATCTGAGAGTCTAGAGAACACGACTCTCTCTAGAATTTTGAACAAAAATGGCAGATTACACACAGGACGGTAATTTTTCAGGGATTCATTGTCCAAAGAGGGTTTCTTCAACAAACGGCGTATAAGTGCTGTTTTTAAGACTGAGGGTACAGTGGCTTGATTCATACTAAGATTAACAATGTGAGATATAATCGGGGCAAATATCGGAGCGCAATCTTTTAAAAGAATGGTAGGAACTGGATCTAATGGACAAGATTTAGGGGGCAATTTACGAAGAAGGGAAAGAATTTCATCTGCGGTGGTATGTTGAAAGGTCCTTAGTGTGGAAGAGGTGACAGGTTCCAGTGGTAAAACATTTGGATTAAGACTATCTCGGATTTTTTTAACTTTTAAACAGAAGAATTGAATAAACGTTTCAGCCATGGAATTGCCATCAACATATGACGGCAATGGAGAAGACTGTTTTCGGTTCAAGAGTCGATTGGCGACATTGTAGAGTTTCTTGTGATCATCACCGCAGTCCTCGATGAGTCTGGTGTGGTATGAACGTTTCGCCTTAGAGACAAGGTAGCTCACCCGGTCTCTCTGAGCACGCCACAAAACATCTCTCGGTCAATCTGGAGCTTTCCATTGTCCCGCCATTTCCTCTCAAGTCTCCGCCGCTCTTTCTTCGCTTCGGTGATGTCATGGTTATACCAAGGACTGTCTTGATGAGCTCTTACTTTCCGAGTCTTGGCTGGAGCATGGGAGTTCAGTAACCTGCAGAATTCTGAGTTGTAGCGGATAACGGCAGCATCGACGCTCTCTGTTGCTGAAGACATGATGCTACTGTCAGTAACATCGTTGGCGAAATCAGTCCTGTTGATGCCCTTGATATTACGAGAGGAAAAAGTTGCATTTTTCCGCTGGGGCTTGTCGAAACGTAGCAAACAGGTAACAGCAGAATGATCAGAGATACCGGGTATTACTTGTAGGCGAGAGTACAACAGTCTATCGGAGTTCCTGACCAGAATGACATCAATGATATGGCCATGGTCGTGCGTAGGCGTAGTCACCAACTGGCAGAGTCCATGCCCGTCGACAAGATCATTGAACCTTTGGGTGTGTTGGGATGAGAGATTGTCTAAATGTATATTAAGATCTCCTGTGATGACCAGAGGAGATAATTTATACAATTTCTCATCCAACAGATCTGAGAATTCATTAATAAACAATGTAAAAGATTGATAACCTGGTGGTCTATACATGACTATGATCTCAAGACTAGTCATGCCATTGGAGACCACGGCTGACATAGATTCAAAACTTGTATAGTTAACTAATTGGTTAATATGTACAGAGAGATTGTCCCTGTACAGGAGCCCGACACCACCTCCACGCCTGGAGGCTCTGGGGTGGTGCAGAAATGCAAAACCAGGGGGAGTGAGGTCAGCTATGACTGCATCATCAGATGCAGACAGCCATGTCTCACTGATAGCAGCGATATCACATTTGTTATCCTTAACAAAGTCATTAAAAATTGTGGATTTATTTCGAAGGGAGCGTGCATTGATAGTACTTAATTTAAGATGGTCTTCGAATCCGTCACGGCCACCCCTTTTCCCCCGATGTGTCCTCAGCCGTCGCCCGATACCTAGGGATAAAATCCTCCCCCAGGCCAAGGTGTTGTCCTCACGCCATTTTTCACATTTACATGTACTTCCGGAATTGAGTGAGTGTAGAAATTCACTCGTATACTGAATCCTATGAATATCCAAAGTCGTGGCGGAGTCATCACCAGAAGGGCCTGGATTAGGGTTAATATCCCCACAACTTAGTAGTTTGACATGATAGGTTGACACAGAATTGTGATAGTACAGTATGGGACCCCCAATGTACTTTCCCTTTGATTGTGCAGAGACATTGAACTGCTGAGAGTAGCTAGCTCTCATACAACAATAAGTATGTGGTAGCTGAGTGCTTCTACACAAGAGAAGCACCACCAATACAATGGAATACAATTTCAATGGTATCATTGTGTCTGTGAGAGTGATCACACAATGCCAAATACATGTACAGTATGGTCTATGTATAGGCAAAACAGAAATGGCTGTACCTACATACAGTATGGCAAAACTGAGAATAAATCTTACTCTAAATACGCTAGAAATACAGTGTAAAAAATCTCAAAAACTTTACCACAGGTGCTTGAAGACAGACATTCATAGATAGAATACAATTCACAATCAAAGAAATATCAGAAATAGCAAAAATATACTGAAAATCAAGAGCTCTGTAGGCGGGCAGCCACAAGGCGCACACAACCACAACCAACGCCAAATAACGCCTAGTGTTAATTATATTTATACCATTTGTAACAGCCCATGTTTAAGTAATACAACATCATCGTCATCATCATCATCATCATCACTACTACATCTATCCAAGGACTAAAGTCCATTCCTAAACCACTGTTTCAGTAACCACAGCAATTAAAAAGAAAGAACACATCTCTCTGAAAGTCTTATTTTGTAAAGCTTTATTTCATCATGACAGGAATGAAGTAAAAAATATCAAGATATACACAAAAATATCTTTTTGCTAGCAACAATGTGAGGACACAACAGCACTTCTAAGTACACACTAACATCATGATAACATATGCAGCGATGTCCACACTAACATCCTGATAACATATGCAGCGATGTCCAAAGAACTTTTAAAATCATAAAGTCAAAAAGCAAACCACAAGAGCACATTTTGAAAGCTATCAATTTATACATTGTATATCTGAAAAAGTGATGCAAGATATTTCATTTGGCAAGTAGGATATTTGAAATATATATATATATATATATATATAAGATTATGCTATATATGGTTTTAAAATTGGGGTGATTAAAACTATAACTTAATCTGCATAACTACACTCTTTAGCTACTTTTAGGACAAAATTTTGACATAATAACCACTAACTTAGGAAAAAATGCTGTATAAAAGACACATAAATTATCTACTAGTCTTTTTGAAATTACTGATGAAAAGTGCATGTACCTGGGAAAACAACTGGTAGGGATCAAGATTTTTGTAATTATATGGCTAAACAATAAAGGCGTCCAAGAAAAGATGATTTAGTGAAAACTCAAAATTGCATCCAACTAGTATATACTCAATCTATTGTAAGATATTGGGGGGATCCCATAATTTTCTTGATAACATACTTACAATGAACACATTCCATAAAAGGAAGTGTGGAACATTAACCCAGGTCACTCTAATCACATTTTTAGAGTTTAATTGATATAGAATCAACCATGAGAGTTTGAGATTTTTCAGCCGCTATATCAAGTTTGAGGAATCTATTTAAATAAAAAACATACTTGACATAGATATCTTTTTAAAGACTATTCTATCCATCAGAGTGACAAAACATGTGTTTGACCATGAAAGAATTTCTATGGCTAAGAACAAATCCTATAATCTTCAGCAAGATCGACTAGCACATATCCAACTAAATTGAGAGTATTTCTGCTATCAACTGCACATCTTTATTGCCTGCAAAATGACGTTAATTGGCAAAATAAATGCCAGATAACATTTACTGTCCACTTATTTTATTAATCATTACACAGATTGATAAATCTATTTCAATAGGAAAATGCTCTAGGGTGTACTAAACTGAATCATATGCTGTACAATAACTAAATATACAAACACACAAAAATACATTTGGTCTATAGAATTGTAGGCTCCTGCAAAGAGGCACTGGATATTAACATGATGAAAATTGCACAAGATATACAGATATTTTTTGCACCTTCATACAAAAATCATAATCAAATATATAGTTTTTTATAAATTTTTCAGATGAAGGGTCCAGATGGTAAAAGTTTGCTATACATAACAAACGTTTTGCAAATCTTACACATTCTTGTTTTTAAATGGATGATTGGGTGGTGAATGATTTGTAAGGCATAAAAAAAGAGGAAATTTTGCATAAAAATCAAACAAAAAGTAATTGATAATTCAAAGCAAACATACAGAACTCACAAAGCAAGACACAAACTGTCACTTTTTATCTTCTGCACTCGGTAACATAAAACATAATTAAACTTGCAGAAAACAAAAATTATGCTTAAGTATGAACAAAAAAAAACTTGATTGTATCTCCCTTCTTTCAGCCTTTGCTTTAAAATGTGATTAAAACGTTCGCATTGCCTGCTTTGATTGCATATTACTTACAAAATAGTACTGTTAACATTTAAAGTTTGTTTAAGGTCACTGTCATAGAACAGAGAAGGACCTAACTTGAAGGAAGTCTTAAGATTAGTTCCTTAATCCTGGCAAAGACATTGTATTGCATGTGATTTCTCTCTATATCTGGATTGACAATGTACAGTTAGATGAAACCACTTCTATGGAACTGAAAATGTTAAGCCAGGAATTATTATCGTCATCAGAAGAAAAAGATTGAATGGCTTCAAATAACTAATTTGCTATCTCTAAATCACCTGAGGCACATATCTCACGTGTGAAAGTCATTGAAGAAAGTTGAATTGAAAAACTGGCACTGAATGTTTACAAAAACTACCTTTTCATAGGTATATGAATATTATGAAGGCACTGAAAGCTTTCTTGGTGGATTAAACAAATAAATGAGCACTTGGTCCTGAATCACAGAGTGATTATCTATCAACGAATAGAAACAAAATGATCATAGATTCAGATTTTGGTTGTATGTATTTCCACATAACAAAGACAGTTGATAAAGGAGGCACAGGGTGAAATATATAGAAGTTTTAGAGTCACAATTTACAAGTCTAGGTCAGAATCAATGACATTTACTGTTTCACTCTCATTTTTTCCATGCAACATCCTCATTGCCTCCTTGCAAGTATCCACTGTCGAATCAGATAGATACTGACACTGCAGTTGGTCTGAGAGAGTAAGTCCTGACTTGTTTTCAGAAGATGCTCGCCCCAACAAGGAATACAGGGCAACTTTAGTTACCATCTTTGCTTGCTCAGCCACCAGCCACCTTTCCAATTCTTGGTTAAGGGCCTCAGCTGTGTTTGCATTATCAGTGTATACCGTAGATGGTGGGCCCCAGAGCAAGCACTGGAGAAGGGATACAGCCTGATTGCAGGTGAGTCTATCTTGAGGATTTTTGGCTAGGAGTTTTGCAGCGATTGTGCGTAGATCAGCGGAGAGAGAAGACTTGACAGGGATACCAGGAAGATCATCCGCAGTGTAATCCGAGATGATCAAACTTGTCCTGGTGGAGAAAGGGTTTGGCTGATGAAGGAACTCAAAGATCAGGATTCCAACATCAAACTCATGGCATTTCTGCTCCAGCTTGGATGCAACCTCCTTCTCGTCTGTCCTCGCTGGAGAAACCACCTCCGCACCCATCAAGTGGTTGATGACTAGACGATGTCCTCCACCTGGAAGGCCACTCTCAGTCAGTAAGAGGTGGTCAAGCTTTAGGCTCTCAAGGCACATGCTGCGTGACTGAAGCTCACACAGTCCCTGGCACAATTGCAGCAGCATCAAAGCAACATCTCGCTCATAGACCTCTGGTAAGTGCTCATGCTTCTCGGTATTTTGAGAGACATACTCTGCAACATTCCCAGTCGGTAAATCATCCGTGAGGACCAAGGCTGTCTCAATGGATCCACCAGTAAGAGGAGAGCTCCTGGTTTTTCTTTGCTCAAAGAGTGAAGGATCGATGGTGATAGTGTCTTTGGTAGCATGGGACACTGAGATGAGGTTGGGATGGGTTGCCATTGATTTGGTCATTTCAGCCATTTGCAGCACCTGAGTTGCCTTGTTAGGATCACAACACACCTAAAATGCATTAAAAAGTAAAGAAACAGATTAAGTAAACATGTTTTACCTTTCCATCTATGTTCTCTAATTGTTCAAAGAAAATAAAGACCACTCAATTGCCTACATGTCAGTACTTACAAACACATGAATTAATACTCATATGGATCTCTGCAATGTGTATGGGCATGCAAAAAACCAACATATACATTTTTGTAAAAATAATTTTTTTTCAAAGATGATTGATTTAGATGATGGAGCATCAATAATTTAAAGCAGTATAGCATACCAGTAACTGCCCTGTACCATGCAGAATAGCATTAAGAACAGAAATTTTAATAAACTACACTATTAGGAATTACCCTGGGAACACACTTTTGCCAACACAATGAAAACAAATCGTGTAATTAAAAACTGTTTGAACAAACAAGTTGAGAAATCTGGTATCTAATTCCTAAGCTGGTAATCAAATCTCAAAATTGATATCATTCTGAAAAACACTTTGACATATGGATGATATTTGACTACAGTGTACTAATCATGTTGATTTCCTTAGAGTATTAATCATCGTTAAGGTTAGACAACTATAATGAAACCACAAAATTGATGCCACACTGATAAACGTGACCACAGGACCTAGACATGTCTGCAGATGAGACATGTCTGCAGAATGAATTGTATCCAATTAGCAGGATAGTAATGTAGCTGGGTATTGCTTAGTCACAGACATGGATATCTTTAGTGGTAGTATTTTTAGTCAACAAATGTAACAGTACACTTGTTTGTATTGGCATCATGACAGTGTTTATATCTTGTTCCTGGTGTTGATGAACTAAACCAAATTTTAGAGGTGGATTTGTTGTTGTTATCCACTTTTACTGAGCTCTGAATTTACCTAACAACACTGGGAAACCTTTACATACATTATGCATCCATGGTTCATTGTACAATTTGTTTTCCTTTAATGATAGGAAAGAAAAGACAGTGACTTGATCTATGGTTATTATCTATTTAAATAAAAGGCTACAAATGCCATTCCCCAATTAGTTTGGTCAATTACTGAAATTTCTGTAATCTTTAGTTTTTATACAGAACTGAAACTGTTCATCCCTTGGAGAGTGAATTTAAACTAAAATTTTGTTTAAAAAATGTAAGGAAAACAAGCAGACAGACTCACCAGTAGGCCTGCAGGAGAGGAAGGGTTGGTTGGATGTCTTACACCAAAGAATGCTGCCCCAGCTGAACGACACTGTGGCTCTGATGTGGCCTGCTCCTTCCAGACCGAGTCCTCACACTCTGTCCAGTCTAGTGGTGTTCTTGGTGTAGTCCTTGAGAGTTGAGTCAAGGCTTGACGATGGACAGCACTGACATCATTGAGAAGATTGCGCTGGCTAGACTGATCAAGGGATGAACTGTTCAGCGGGTTCAAACTGCATCGAGCATCTGCGAGAGATGGCTCTACCCTTTGAGGACTGTCGTCGACTTGGGTTTCTGCGTCCTTGTGGATTGTATCATCCAGATGCACTTGTGGAACCAGAGCCAGGTTTGTATAGTCACTTCGGAGGACGGTGGAATGCGATTGGGTATCAATAGCTGCATCTTCCGGAGCGATGATTCTGACTGGACGCTTTGGAACCACTTTCCCTTCAGCATCAGTCCTGAGTGGTTCTGATTGTGTGCTTCTGAGAGCAGACTTCAGAGGAGGGGAGGAACTGAGATGGATGTCATCAAACACCAGTTGCTTAGCACCGTTTCCGTCGATGACATCGTCTCCTGTGTCGCCAGGGGTTGGTTTCTCTGGAGTCTTTGGGGCCATACGCTTGACGCGAGACGGCAAGTCCTCAAAACCTGTGGTCCTGTTCCGTTGTCTCCTCCTAGCTGGCTTCTGAGGGGCTATGTTGGCTCGATTGGCACCTGTATCAATATGATAACAATGACAGACACAAACAGGTTAGAAATGTACATCTCTTACAACTTGCATTTTACATACCGTACACACTTAACCTAAAAGCATGAAATCTGCACCACTGCACAGTATAGTTACATTATTGTAAAATAAGGAATGTTCTATCTGGAACAACAAACACATTTACATTTCTTGACAACTCTAAGGTAAAGGATCATTGAACATACCATCAATATTCATAATTCTTTTTCTACTTCCATGAGTTGAAGAGCATGCTGCGCAATGGCATTCCATTTTTGGCTAATAAAACTGAGTGCAACGTTAAATGAGATATTCCCATCAAACAACACAGATATAAATACTGTTCTCAAAAGAAGAAGAGACTAGTAGAAGTAACTTTTCCCCCCTGGCAGATTAATCCATTCTGATTCCCACAAGTATGACTAGAGTAATCTGAGTTGAGGCTCAACCATTACAACATAAATCCCAAAGATTAAATAGTTGGCAAGGGTTGCTGTTAACTTTAATAGACTGGGGGCCCTATCAAAATGAAGAAATTAAATGATAAATAATTTAAAGAATCTGGAATTCCTGGTTTAGTCCATCTTAATCTCTCTAGTTATGGGATGATAATCTGCTTAAGATGTCCACAGGGGCATGGGGATCAGTCAAATCTTGATAACTTTCCAAATATCTAGTCATGGTCAAGGCTGGATATTACTTGTGTTGGCTGATCTATTAAGTGATATAAGCGAAGATATACACCTACCTAAGCTTTGTACAAACTTTAATTTTGTTTGGAACATGTGACTTTATAACACTGGGGCACACAATCTGTATCTTCCGCTTACATACATATAATGTAGAAGTAATTTAAAAAATGATATGATATATGGAGTTGGCCAGACAAAATTAATCAGTTAATGGCTATTTCTATGTTAAATAAGATTTAAATTCTTTAATAAGCATTAAAAACAGGGGAAGTGAAAGGATAGCACATATATCTATACAGTTAGGTGAAGATGAAATAAGGTATATTTAGGAGTTAAGTTTTGGATCATCTACATTTTCATGTGTATAGTAACATTTTGTTTTTCAACCAGTGTTTGATAGTAAGGTTATTGTAGTTTTGCATCAAAAAGTATATACATGTATCATTGTTTGAAATCACATGTATCCAGTTTTCCAATTTATGTCCCAAGTGGATTTAATGTAATGCGTGCCAAAATAACAATCATCACCTCGGGAAAAGAATTTAATTCATTCTTTATTCCTGAACAATAAGTACTAAAATACACATATATGTGCATGATCTGTTCCTCTTTCTCTACCTCATTTCCTGTTCCTACTCATTGCAATCCTACCCTGAACCCGGAAAGGCACAAGTCTGTACTTCACGTGGCATGTCCTTGAGTTTATCTAATAATATCAATTACAGCCCTTCTTCACTCATACAATTAATCATTCTTTATGGTTTAAAGACGTATCCTTCACACTTCAGAAATGATAAGAACACCTAGCCATGCTGGCAAATGTGACAAGGTCTCTGGGAAGTGAATCACAATGCCTTGACGAACTGACTCAGAAACTGTCAAGAAAGTATTATCACCATGCATGTCATGACATAACATAGGATTCATTTCGTTAGGAATTCCTGTAAATGTCAGCGCATTTCCAGCCAAATTTGTTCAGGGACATACGTATAGTTATGTGTATGATAACAATTAGATTTCCTCAAAACAATTTACGCTTTTATCCCCTCAAATTGAGTAGCAAACGCTAACCGCAAGGCTACTCGTAAATGTACTGCCTGTATGAATCTGTTAAAGGAGGTAGAGATACAACTATTAAAAGTCACAGTTATTAAATGGCTTTCCTTGAAGTACCATTAAAAAAATAGTGAAGTTTTACATATTTACACAAAGCTTGCTGATAGAAAAATGAATCAAAAGAATTATTGCCCTTCTACCACTGATATCATGAGAGATTGCTTCCTCTCTGCTTTAAAATTATTTTAAACAAAGATATTGAAGGGGCAGTCCAAATTATGAATCCTATATACATGTACAAGTATATGATACATGACGATAGTTTAGTTATTGGAAATTTTAACTTACGTAACTTATTTATCTATTCGTTACTGTTATTTTATTCAGTACCCAAGACAGGTGTCAGTCTTCGGACTGTTTGTTCTTGGTTTTTGATGTGTTTTGATTTCAATAAAATCCTATTTACATGCATGAATCATAAATAATTCTACCCAAAAGAGCTTATCATAAAAGAGGTCTTCAGTGGTAAGAAGACATCTTAATAGATTGAGAACTTGAAGAGATAGGGCACATCATCATTTTCAATACCCAGCCCCTCTTTTTATATTTTTCTTACAGTTTTTTAAAATACAGGTAAGTAAATGGTAAGAAAGCATCTCATCACCAAGTCACCAAGAGTTCAAAAGTGTTTGATGTGCACTAAATAGAGCACCCAGCATAGTGCATAGTAATTCCTAGATTAAATCTTGAGTTGACAGTTACTTCCAGGAATCATTTTGGAGATTCTTTGATTCATAAATGTCTTGTCAAATCAAATATCCCTTTTTTCCAAGCAGTTTGATATGAAACCCGATGTCAAAATACAAAGTTATTAGATTTCACTTTGAAGATGGAAGGAGGATGATGGATTTCTTTTCAAATTCGTTTGCATCGCAATAACAAATGTTCATTTGAATGATTGAATCCTTTAGTTAAGATCGTTACAGACAGTTCAGATGTGTGTAATTTTATGTATTAACAGTCATAACAATAAACTTGATATACAATACAAATGAGCAATTACTGCCAAATCAAATCATCAGATTCATCACTAACCTAAACATGAATAAAGTGTTTCCGCTATTGGCTAACCTTGATCAACCTTGTAGTTGTCAATTTCAAGACTTAAACAATTGACTTCAAAATGATACCATTACTTTAAAACAAAGACAAACTAGTAGCAAATTAGATTTCTGAAAATTCAACGAAAGTATAGTTTGCTTCATTACAAATTGGCATCTTTACATGGATAAATGTATATACTGTTAAGGTGTTTAATTTGCAAATTAAAATACAGATGGAGAATGGGAAAAAAGGGGGAGGGGCTCATCACTCATATATTTGTTTGTTTTGTAATTTGTAGAGTAAAATTAAGAATGGTAAGTTCATTATTGCAAAATTATTCATACATGTATATTTACATGAGCTCGAGCAATGTGTCATTCCCTTAAATAAACATTTTGGTAATTCAAGGCTTACCGGTACATTAAAAATATGTGATTATCAGAGATATGTTCAGGGTTTAGTACAAATTCATGTTCATGCAAGCAATTAATTGTCAGATGACCCTGGCATCTATCTCTGTATCCACAAGGCTTTTGTAACTCATTGTTTTCTTGCACAAATGAGGAAATAGGCTAATAATATATCATAGATATCAAACGAATCCCAATGAATTCAGATGTATATCATACAGCTATTCATTATTAAGGGGGGAAGGGGAATTACAATTTAAATTGTGTTCAGTGCATACTTTCCAATGCCCCCTTTCTGACTATTTGAATGTATGTGAGCTCTTAGGGATCTCTTGAAATTGTCAACCCCCCCCCCCCCCCCCCACCTCCCTCAGAAGAATAATTTAGGAGCTGGAGTACTGAGAGCAAACTGCCCATTTTCTCTGGAGTATTTTAAAGTTTTTACCAAAGTACTGTGCGTGCAAGAATAAGCTATGTAAAGATGTTCAGTGCATGTTTACTATGCACTTAGAGAAGAACATTCATACATGTATGAACAAGAATATGAAATATCTTTGAGATAATCTCACCTCCTGTATTTACTTTACATGAACAACATAATTGATATCACGCTTGGTAAATGGTAATTGGTAAATACAGACATGGGGAGTGTTTGGTTGCCGTAGGGATGTACCACAGTCATAATGCAATTGACTCATTTCATTGCAACTTATTTATTCTTCCTCTCCACAGAGGAACAGACAGGAAACAAATCAATAAAGAAAATCATTGTGTATATCTTATCCAAGGCTAGTCAATGCTAGTGGTTGTGGTTATCTATTTCTTCTATTGTGTATGATATTTTTGTTTTGGTACAAATGCTGTTTGTTAAGAATGGTGGCGTGGCTATGAAGGTTACGTGGGCTTTAAATAGGGCTTCTTGTACTTCTGACTGGGACAATGTAGTTATTGTGAATTGTTTTCTATCACACGAAATGAAGCACAGATCTACAAAGAAAGATGTGACTCAACTCAAGTTCATAAAGGGATTAAATTTATTCATCTAGCTATAACTTTTTTGTAAACAGATTTCATAGAGGAAATTTTTTTCTCAAAGATCTATGGAAATAGCTAGTGAGCTTTCCCTCGAGGCAGTTTTAGAGATCTTTTAGAACTTTCAAATCACTTTCCACTTCCATTACCTTTTTCACTGACGACAATACTCTCCTCATCAAAAGTTCAATTTCCAGTTTGAAAAGCTCTCCCTGAACCATAAAATTACTTTCACCCATTTCATTCCACCATGATTTGACAGTACAAAGACCCGAGTTTGATTCCCACGATACCCCATCCTTACACGGTCCGCTTCATTCAAAACATGTTTATTTTCACAAGGCCTCTGGGTCCCAGCACCTCCTCAAACCCTCAAATATCATACCCAACATTTACAAAAGTGAGGCAGGTCAGACAAACCGTTTACAATAGCTCTCTTTCAATTTGCATTCCACACTTTTTGTGATATCAGCAAGCTCAAGTTCAACCAAACAGAAGGAAACCCCTCATGGGGAGTTACCATAATACACTTCTTGAATGGGGATCTGTAGATCTTTGCCATAAATGCTATTGAGTATACAACTGTACACAATGCAGATGTGGTATGAAAGGAATGAATGGGGATTTCAAATGATTAAGTCAAGAAGGGTTGGCCATTGGAGCTTTCCACCATTATAAAAGTACACTGAATCCAGATAAATATCGGCTTTATTATCATTATTTGGATATATTTGTAAATAATTCCCCAACTTAAAATAAGGTTGGATTATCCTATTGTGATGTACATGTCGGCCTCATCTATGACCTATTGAAGAGTTTATAAGTTCATTACATTCAAATGATTATACTTCATTTTATTTATTTTTTGTTATTGGTAGGAAATCTTGACCCATGTCTATCCTTCTTCATTGTAAATAGTAATATAATTTCCTAAATCACTATTATGAAATTTGGTGACAGTATACAAAAATGATTTTGCTTTTTTGGCATCTCTCCAAATTTCCATACATTTTTTTAGGTAGGCATAAGTTCCCTTGATGAGTTGATAAAGTCCTGAAATTTTCCATTGATCAATAAAATGCATGTTGTAATCTTTCATTATTGTCAGCTTGAAATACAATTCTAAGGAATGTAAAGTGAATGAAAGAGCAATTTGAATAGGCCTGTTAGATAATCACCAAGATTAGTCTATTTATATTCTAAAAGGACCTTACAACAGACATAATTGGTGCATTCCAAAAGAACCTTCAATTGATGCATCGTCTATTATCAATAAGAAGGGAAACATTCCTGAATCTTGGCGCCCCTATCCCCACTCCCAGGTTCCTGTTCCTCCCCCTCCCCGTCTCCGTTTTCAACATGAGTAATACATCAAGATTGAGATGGGGAAAAAACAGGAGGAAAACCTGTACTATCAAATTCACAATCGGCTGAAGAAAGACGTTTTAATGGCAGACATCTGGCAAGAGTTATACCAAGTGCAAACTCGATGAGGTGAAAGATGTATTATAAAGCAGATCAAGTAAATGTACATGCCATATGCAGCAGAATTTGATTTATTCTACCTACAAACAACCTTGGATGGGATTCAATTCTCAACAAGAATGAACTTATGACCTTGGATATAAACATTGTATGTCCTCCGATGTGTACTTTCTAAATTAACAGCATATGGTGCATAGTGCAATGTAACTACAATGTAACTGCATGTACATTTTATTTGGAACCAATGAAAATTTCTGACCAAAATGTCAAAAATGGAGGTATATGAATAAAGTGCAGACTACTAAAGTTATGAGACTAGAACTTGTACTCACCCAAATTTTCATAGAGGTGATTTTCCTCCTCTGGTATGCTCTTCCTTCTACTGGTAGGAGACAGAGAGTAGGATTTCTGGAGTGGGGCTGGATCTTCACTATTGTCTTCATCCTGGAAGTCTGGTAGGGGTGTAGGTGGTTTGGGTGCCCTTCGCTTCCCTCCACTTCTGGTTACATCATCGTCTTCGCTCTCCACGAGGCTATTCCTGTTGTGATTGGTTGCGGTGGTGGGTGTGGTGGCTGTGGGTGTGGTCCCATTGGTACCGGGTGTGGCAGGAGATGCAGCTTTGGTAGTAGCTTGGGATGCCTGTTTGATAGCCACCGTTGGTTGCCCCCTGTATGCGTTGATGACTTCCAGGCGCTCCAGCGAGTTCCTTGGATGGGAGTCATTGACTGCTGGCGGAGCAGCAGGAGCACAGAATGAACTCGTAAGCCATTTCTCCACCTCCTCCGAGTTGAATTCCCTCTCCGGGCTGCCAGAATCATTTCGCTTCTTCTTCCTCTTCCATGGCAACTTGGATCGTTTAGACTTTGTGGTAACAGCAGGTGCATCCTGTGTGGCCGATGTGTTAGGGAGGTTAAGTTGCTGGGGCCTGTTAAGAGGAGGTGGAGGAGAGGCCACTCGTCTCATAGGTGGGGCACTGGGTTGATTCTCCTTCTGTTTCCCTCTGCTCACCGGTGACAGCTCCCTTCGTCCGGTAGGAGAAAACTCCCGGAGCCTCGCTCGAAAATTACTCTCTTTCTTGACTGGAGTTGCCTTTCTAGATTCATGTTGATTTCTAAGAGGAGACATGTCTCTGTGTCTCGTGGGGGACATCTCTCTTCTTACTTCATCACCCCTTCCCGAGCTCCCACTAATGCGAGTTTCTACCTTAAGTTTGTCAGTATTGGATGCCTGCGGATATGATGATCTGTCATTGTCATCCGATAGGTCTGAGGAACTTCTGTCTATTGATTTTTTCTTTTCTTTTTTGTTTTGAGGGGGAGGGGGCGGGGAACGATGGGGCAAGCTATCCAGCCTGTCATCCCTCTCCCTACCAAAGTTCTGCTCAGTGAGTTCCATCGATGGGGGCCTTGGAGCCACCCTCTTAAGCCTAGTCTGACCAAAATCTGGTATATCTGGGTCTTTCCCACTCGAACCATTTGACAATTCCTCCTCCAAGACTGGATGAGTTTTTGACCTTGATCGAGATGGTCTCCTGGTTTCTCTTAATGTCTCATCACTCATTGACACTCTCTTTGACTCCAGTAGATTCTGTGAACTTTCATTCTTAGCAGTTTCCTCTCTGCTTGGAGCGGTAACTTGCTTTTCACTTGATTTCTCTTTAGGCTGGAGATAATCAACGCTTTGATTAAGACCCTGCAGTACTTGAGCATCTACCTCACCACCATTACTATCTTTGGTACCATCGCACTCTGAGCTGTTGAACGCCTTTGGCATAATGAATATTGGAACCTTATACTGTCCTGAATTTCGTTTATTTTTTCTATTATCTGGAGGCTGTTCATCATGAAGAATGATAGGGTATGGTGGCGTATTTCTTTTACTGCTCTGTGCAGGCGGTGTTTCGTGCTTTGGTGCATCACTAGAATCACTGGATTCCATGGAATCGTTGATACCAGAGTCTGTGTTCAACTGAGATGCAGTATAGATGCCATCAACAAGAGCAACATTTCTCCTTGAGTAGCGACTTGATGGATCCATTGAGGTGCTAGCTCCACCATCCTCCTGCTGGATCAATCCAAGACCTTCATCTAGTTCATGAGACATCCTACCACTATTTGATGAAGTACCATTACTGCTTGACTTTTTCGCCTGATTATCATTCAAATCTACAACCCTGTAGGGTTTTGTTCTCACTGTAGGAGACTGGGAACCTGAACCATTATCCATCTCAGCACTACCACTGTCTCCTTTGTCTATCTCATAGCGATGAGATACCTCCCCACTCTGTGAAATAATTGTGACACAATCTGCAATATGTCCATATCGGGATGTCAAATCTTGTTGTTCATCGTCGCCTGCATGTTTCTGGGGAGACGTGACCGGAGGCTTGCCAAAATAAACATCTGAACTGAGCTGGCTGTTTCTCACCACTACATTCTCAGTCTTCACATCTTTCATGTTTTCTCCTGTCGAAGTGCTGACGTTTACCACAATTTTTTTGTTCGTAGATGGCATGAAAACCTCCGGATCGGAAGTCTGTCTTATGTGTTTTGTGAGTGGCTTTATAGATGGCCTTGACTTTCCTACGGACTTTGGGAGAGTCTCGTGACCTGTCAGCGTAGACTGAGAGTTCATGACAAAATTCATAGGCAGATTGGATTTGGAATCCACTAATTTCTGTAGCTCCTCTACACTGGCATCACTTCCAACCACGTTTGGCAAGTCAGGCAGATTTGGGAGCATCTCTTCTGTCTCGATAACAGAATGGTTGTTGTTATTGCTGCTATGAACCTCTGCTGAAGAAGTATTCCCCATGCTCTGAATGTGTCTAAGATTTTTGGCGACTTTCACAAACTCTGGGAGCTCTGGATCATGGCGGCTCCTGCCTCTGGTCTTAGACGGGTTTCCTGCCTTCTGTACGGGGCGCAATGCTCGCCTATACTGCTCACTGTAACTACCACTCAGCTCTAGCTCGCTGTCTGATGGGTTGTTATCCGGGTAGATATTGCCATTGGTCTCCTGTCCCTGTCCAACATTGATGTTGATGCTTCCATTCTCTGAACATGATTCAGAGCTCTTTATCCCAGCTTGTGTCGATTCATTTCTAGATGATACCGTGTTGTCCAAACCAGACGGGCATTCTGCTTCACAAGGGATGTTGAAGGTCAAGGCATTCTTTGTGGCTTTACTCGTCGCATCACGCTTTGCATTGTGGGGTAACGATTCTTTAGTTCTCTCTTTACCCCTCTTCCTGTTATTCCTTTCAGCCTGTCTCTCGCCCCGCCCTTTCACATCCTTCTGGAGGTTATTCTGGTTGCGAATGATGACTTTGGGAATGTCATACTTCTGCTGCTTCGCAGCCTTCCCATCATGCTCTTGCACATTGTTGATGTTGTTGTCAAGGGCGAGAATCTTTGTGGTATCCATCTTCTTGTCGACTTTCTCTACATGAGCCAACTTGGGCTTGAAGCAGTGAACACAGAGGTGGCTTTTGAAGCGATGCTGTTCAAAAGCTGAACAGGCTGCAGTGGTAGCTTTCAGATCTTCCAACATCTCCTTAAATGAAACAGCTCCTTGATGTTAAAACCTTTACACTGCAGGTGCTTAAGCCTCAATTTCTCATGGTCAGTTTGTGTAGTTATCCATCAGCACAATGGACCTGAACAGAAGAGAAAATAAAGAACAACATATGAAAATTATAATTAGTTATATGTTTTGTTTAAAGACACAGGTTAAAATGAAATAATCCTGTATGTAAGTGAGTCATTATTGACAAAAATATAGATATGTGATTAAAATAAAATTTGAATATAACAGAAATATAAAAGGCTCAATTAGTTTACATACTGTACAGGTATACAGTTTTGATAATTTTTAAAGAACACATGCTTAAGTAGGCATCATAATATAACATACTTGTAGGTCTGATACACAAAACCTTCTCTAAATATTTGGTGAACATGAATCATTGAAACTGTCACTCACATTTTTGGGTGAATCATTTAATGAAACATTACTTACAAACATGTGTATGCTTTCAAACACTTGCTAACAGCTAGAGAATTTGTAATAGTGACATCATAACTTTCTAGTCTAGTTTCCACACATGAGAAACGTATGAAATACCTGTTACCTTATACATCATGTTGTACACACATCTCATCAAATTTATTTTTGAGCTTAAATTCCAAAACCAAATAGGGCTTTAGGGGAATATATCAGGATATACATGTATATATGTAATCTTTCTCTAGCTCACTTTGCACATTTTCTTGCTCGCCAAATACAATACTAGCATCAAAATCAAAATAATTGAAAATATACATATTTTGAAAAAAGAAACATTCAAACGAACTTGCCCACACGTACGCACATGTCATGCACACACAATGGATCAGTGAATGACCTACATAATACAATTTTAGCTGTAGAAGCTCTATAAGACATTATTTAAAAAAAAAACTTTTAAAATATGATAAAAGAAGATGAAAATATATATTATTATTTAATTTTTTTTTTTAAAGTAATGTACACTGTAGATAGTCTGCAAATAAGTCCTACTTTTGAGAGAGCAAACTTTCCCAGGCAAAAATCATTTCAAGTTCATCACTGGCTACAGGAGTGCATTACTCTTCCCTCACCCATAAAAGCCTATAAACAAACATTGTGAAATGCTTATTTCATATTTTAAAAAAACCTTTTCCTTGAAAAAACAAACAGAATTATGGTTTCTGTCAAGCACGACAGGAGGGCCTGATCCATTTTCCAAAGAAGTAATCCACTTAACCCAATCAATCCTCTTAAGATGAAGAGAGTTAAAGTTGGTTTGAAAGCCACTAGCATTGAGGGAGAAATCCATTCCATTCAGAGCTAAGTTCCGCTCAGACTTCGTGGCAGCCAGGGCCTATCATCACTTGGCACAATTTGACCTGCTTTCAGGTTCAACTACGCCTGTAGAATGTCAGGGAAAATGTGGCTACATAAACAACTTATGGACTATGGGTAGATGTGTAGAGAATACATTTGGAGAACTTCAGAGTAAAGAATTGCATTTCTTTGTGACATATACAATTTAAAGATGAAATAACGGTTGACCTGAGACTTGAAAAAAGTTACTTAGAATAATGAAACTAACAATGAAATTTGAGGGGAAAATATGAGAGAATAGAGAATTCTGTAATTGTAAAAGATTAGAAGATTAAAAGATAATAAAAAAAAACATTTTCCTGTAAAGAGCGTTTAAAGTCACAATATGAAAGAAAGTGTCATGACTGACATCCACGCATACAAATACAAGGATCAAGGTAATAGTACTTTGATAAAAGGTATATGTTTTCACTCTATGGTTCATACTGGAGAAATCATTTAAGATGGTACTGTTGCAAAGTGAAAAAGATCAATACCCGGTACCACCCCACTGCAAAATCTCCATACTTGCAAAAGGAATACATACATGCATGTATCTGACTGAAAACAGTAATAAAACACTATATTAAAATAATAATTATATCCTTAATGTGTGAAAATAGCAATAAATTTTATACGCTCAATGAAAAACCATTTCCATACATCCATGATCTAAAGGCAGTGCAAATTGCAAAGTACCTCAAAGGAACACTAAAAATCCAAGTCAGATTTTCTCATCTGAGTTTTCGAAATTAAAAAACAAAACACAATATTGACAAGAAGCACAAAAAAACATGAACTCCCAACTTCTGTTTAACTATCACAGGCTTGGCTCCTTACCTTGATTTATTTGATGTACTGTACATGTACTGTCCACGTAAAATATGTTCCATGTCCACCACAGACTCACAAATAAAGGCCTTCCTCTCCTTATCGAGATATTATTCCTTCCCTACTCGGTAACCAAATCCAAAGTAATCACAAATCCAGGAACTGGCAATATAAGGGATCACACACCACTACAAAAAGTTTGCTCAGCTCAAGTACCCTACATAAAACCTGGCTTGTGAGGGCAGTAGCCAAATTTTGATGATCTATATTCAAGAGTTCTGCTCTAGTTTTATAATAATTCCAAGACTAATTTGAGTTTTGGGAAAGCTGAAAAATAATTTGAGAGCCTTTCCATTCCTTTTTATTTTAGTGTAGATGAATAAAATACACTGCAGAAAAACATGAATGTAGCCCTGCAAAGGATGACTCTTCTAACGCCCTCGTTTTCAAAATTTGACGAGAAATTTCATAGTGTCTGGACCACTGCTTTATTACGCGACATGTTTGTGTAGTCCAACACATACATTTAATACGGGTAAAATGCATGTGACATTCGCCAAGACTGAATCAATTTCTTATCATATCGATGATTGCAACACTTCATGGTATACCTTATACCTACAATACATCTATATGTAATCAACATTCTTTTACTAAATACTTTTAAATATTTTCAGAAGAACTCAACTTTATCTTTCAGGGCATACCGTTATGTTTCTTTACTATCCAATAATACAATGAACATACTGTACATGTAGGCCTACACGATCATGTACACAACAGGTCATACATGTACCAATACTTATTAAAGGAAACCAAAACCTTCATACTAAGTTACTTTGATTGTAAAGTTTAAAAGATTTGAATAAAATCAGTGAAAATTTGAACAAAATCGGGCAAGGAATAAGGAAGTAAGAGCTTTTTGAAATGACTAGTCACTAGAGGGCGGTATTCAATTTGATGACATCATCTGTGAACAACTCTTCATGCCTTTTGTACATAAAATTTCACAAATTTTTTGTTTTCTTCGTATTTATTTGTGTTCTTGATCCGACTTCATAACATGTGAAGTAGAATATCATTTTGCATTCTATATCTTGCTTCCGGGGGAGTACATTATCTCAATCACAAGAAAGAAGGAAAAACATGAAATTTGATGTACAAAATGATTTTCTTGTGAAAACTTTCCTTTAAGAAATGATGATTAAAATTCAGTAAACATGGCCGTAATAATCACAAAATAAGCTTTGATTTCATACCTCCATTCACGAAAACTATATACAAATCGCGGCAATCATGATGGAAATAGGTGTAAGGTTTGGACATGGACGGGAAGCCCGTGTATCTCTCTGGCTTTGTGCTTGTGCAGCTACTACAAAGGATATCCTATAGAAAGATGCTTTACTCGGGTAATCCCGACCCTGTGCATCGTGCATTTAATACGCAACTTAATGTGAGTGGATAGTCATCGGTCGTGTGTCTACGGATGTAATGTTGAATATCCATGAGGTATCTCTGTCGTCATGCATACCCTGCATTATGCATATCGCGTCTGTTTTCGCCCTGGACGTCGACACGGAGGAGGACCTCGGGCGGAGTATAGCCAATTCCACAGAGTAGACTCTCCCGCGGATGATGGCACCGGGCACGGGTACCCCGAGGGGAGGGTTCAGGAGGAGATAGCCGCACCAACTTCGGTCGGCGATCTCATTAAAAAACAATAGAATACAAAGGCTCGCGGAGACGTCGCGCCCCCCGTGGAGCCTTAGCGTATTATTATCATAGATTGTTGGGTATACTGTAGTATTAATTCTACTTTATCTGTTGTTACATCACGATACTGTTGAGTTGCATACCGGCTGTTTAATCTGGTGTATACAGCCTTTTCAGTAAGATCTATAAGCATGAAATTAGATGTCAATTCAAGTATGGGAAAGAGAAAAATCTTACTATGATACAAGAATTATTGACCAACAAACAAATGTATCAGTTAATTGGAGCCAGACAGGCGTTAAATCATAGACATGTACCTTACTACAGAGTAAGCTTCCCTCTGGCTCTGAACAGATGAGAATACATGTATACCGTATGTACATTTTTATGTATGGAGACAGATTTCGATAAACACATACTGTACATCAGGGACAAGTGGAGATCTGGAATAAATTTGGTTTAATGTTTCCTATAAAGTCAAGATTACAAATAAATTTCACTGATATGATATGAAATGCTGATTCTAATCAGTTGCCTTCTTTGCAAGTTCATGCAATGCATAAAATACATGTACTTACAGCTTGGAAAGAGAATTTTACAGCTAATATGCCTTGAGATGTGATACTAGGCCTTGTAAAAGATAAAATAAGGGGGGGGGGGTCCTGTCTTTCTGCCATTGATGTTTTCCAGATTGCACAAACTTTGACTTTTAACCCGTTAATGCATACTCAGCTCCCAAAATATTTGTGTTCATACTCCACTAACTCCAGCAAAATTACATGTAGGGGTATCACAATAGATTTTCAATGCAGCCTCAAGCATTCTACGTTACCGGGTAGTTAATTAGTATTTTAATTAGTATTTTATAATCTATTTTGCAATCTACTACACCTTTTTTGTATTCAATTAACTCAATTTATACATGTATTTCACGATACTATCTAATCTACTTAGCAATCTACAATGCCCATTCAATCTACTCAATTTGTAAAAAATTAGAATTCACAATAACAGCACACCTACACTGAACAGCCATTTTGCGCCTTCCAATAAACCATGGCTAACAAACTACACTGTAGCATTAAAATATCAAAGTGTTTCTGAATTTCCCTTTTTAAGTCATTAACCAAATACTGTAAGAACTTAAAGAAGGTCAACTGAATCAAATTTTTGTCAAGTAAATATATAAAATAAAAGGCAAGAAACCTA